ACTAAGAAAACATACGTGACGAACTATGATAAGTAAATGTCACACATAACGGGCTATGGTAACTAACCGGGCATCGGTAATTTAACTTCCTATCGTATCAATCCTCCCGGGAACATTTGTAAATCTATCTAGCGGGATAGATTAGTCTAAGCACGTTCTCCATAATATTTTCGCGAATATTACTCACCGCATATTAATTCGGCAAAAACAAGGGAAGGGGCACATCAGCCTATAGTATAAAAAGGCTGGATCGGGACCCGCGGTAGCACTCATATTAGCAGCTCAGATTAAGTTCATATTATAGTTCGTATTCGAGCTCAGATTAACACTCATACTCTAGTACTCGTACTTATACTGATTTAGTTATTTATAAGTTCCACTACCCGGCTACTCAGAACCGGAATTACACTCTTCTAAGCATTATAAACTTGTCTTGAAAAAATAAATCTTAAATCAAATGCAAACACCTGAAACTGTTTATAAAAACCTCTTCTGAAACCCAGTCCTAACAAGGTAAGAAACTAAGTTATCTACCTAAACACGCTACATATAATAAAGGCGCTATCCCTTTAACCAACCTCCACTTAACTCCTTACTAAGATCCTACTTTTACCAACGCGACAGTATTTTAAACATTATTACGTCTAGCCATAACAACTCCTCGCCTAGACATAACAATAACAACATTGTTATAATTTATTAATCTTAATTAACCGATTTAATATTTACATTATAAGATTTTGCAAAAATACGAAAATTGATTATTATTCAAATGTTATTAACTAATTTTAGTAATTTTTTTTTGGAATTATTTCTACAAGCAATAAACTACTGCTATATGTAAAATTTTTTTATTACCTTAATGTTAATATTGCACTATTATATTAACTAACTTCATTAGTTAATAACTTTGAACTCCGCTTTTTGCGATAATTGTAAATTATACTTAAATGATCTATATCTACTTCTGTAAATTTTACGTTTTAAAATTTCGTTATTATTGTCCATTCTCTTGTAAATTAGAAAAAATGATTTCGCACAATTGCGTAAACACCTCGAAGAGAGCTGTCCTGCGAAAATAGGCGGGAAAATCTGTATATAAATACGCTCACTTTTGTACGGGCTGGGATTCTCTTCTAGCTTTGCAAAATGAGCGCTCGAGATTGAATAAGCTTTTACTTGAGTTATTTCTCTCTACTGATTAACTAAGCAATTCTTTCCTTTCCTGTTGTGATTTACGCTCGACTCATAGAACATTTTGCGTTATAAGAAACTTGGGCTGAATTACATCTTTTTTTCAAGAGAGACTTAAGCTCTGCTTATGGGACATTTCGCACTATAAGAAACTAGGGTAAAGTCTATCTTTCTTTAAGTCCAATTCTACCAATGATAGATATTTCATTTATAATTTTATTTCATATTCAATATTCATATATATTTTTCAAAGCTAAACGAATTTTTACTCATTAACGCGGCAGATCACGAAAATACGAACAAAATAATAAATTGATAATATCAATAATAATATTAATAAATTAATTAATATTAACATCACATTGTTAACTTTTTCAAAAAATAATTATTTCAAAAGTTTATGGTTTTACCCGTATTATAAAAAGTTTCACGTCGATATCTTTATTAGATTTGAAATATAGTCGATTGAATATTTTATATTATTTTTGTTTAATTGCTAATAACTTTTGTTATAATTAATATTTCGAGTTGGAAATTTGGGAAAAATCTTACTTCTATAGATACAACAATTGTGTAAAGTTAGAAAATGTCCGTGATTTGATGTCTCTGAATACATATCGAAATAGCCAAAACTTACCTATATATATATATATATATATATATATATATATATATTGTGACGGTAAACGTCATATTAGCGCTAACGGCCCATGCATGCGGCTGCTCGCGAGGGCAGCACCTACCGGTAGCCGAAAAATGTAACGAGGGAATTCGGCAAGCGAGGAGACGGAACGCGGGCAATTAAAAACGAACCAGTATGGGATTAGCTACCGATACAGCGACCGCAAAAATCGAGGCTCGTAACCTGATCGCCTGAATGCACGGCAGAAATCGAGTGATTATTGTCGCCGAGTTATTCAAGGAGTGCTGACCAGAGCCTGCAAACACGGTGTCCTCCCCTGCCACCACGAGTGTGTGTGAAGTGTTTCGCCATCGAGGGCGAAACCGTGCGCGCGCAAGTTCGCGACCCAAAAGAAAGGGAGAACAAAAGACTTTATCCGAACGTGTGTGTGCTAAGTTTCGTTCGCTGCCGAACACTCATCATTAAGATAAGCTGGCCAGCTTAATCTCGCGACCGCGATTGCATGCCTGATAATCAATTTTCCGTACTCGAAGCGAAGCATGCATGTAATAGCTCTGCTAACAAAGAGCTGCGAGCGATCCGACACCGTATGTCGTTGCCGTACGAGCGCGGTATGTAAACATAAATACGCGGGCCGAATGTAATGTAACATTCAGAATTAATAAAGAGTTTTCGTCTGTGATATTAACCAGTACTTTTGACGTGTTTATTTCGTATTCGTAGTTAATTGGTTGACTGACAGCCGTTCCCTCGTGCTCTCCGACTTCCGTATTGAACATAGGTAATTACGTGCGCTTTTCAATACGATTACGCGGATAAAATTAATTAAACGGTAGCAACCCCGTTACAATATATATATATATATTGTGACGGTAAACGTCAAATTAGCGCTGATTATTTAGCTTAATTGCTGCCTGTGAGGGCAGCATCTGCCGGGGGGGACGAAATTCGTAACTAAGGAATTCGGCACGCGAGCAGACGGAACGCGCGCGATTGAATTCGAACCAGTGAAGCTTAGACCATCATAGTGTCCGCCCGTCTTCATTTTGAACTACCGATTTACGTACCGCAAAACCTCGAAAGTTAACGAGAACGACAAGTGTCAGCTAGCTGTGACCGTCGTTCACGAGGAGCCGCTTGATTGCAGAGGAAGGAGAGTACGAGCTATCAAAAGTGTGTGTGAGGTTTCGCCATCGAGGGCTAAGCCACAACCGCGTGCGCGCGTTCGCGACCAACAACAGAGACAATAATAAACAGTTTCGTGCAGTGCGACTGCTCTTCGTTTTCTCCGATCGCCTGCAAATATAAGGTAAGCTGGCCAGCTTAATCTCGCGGTCGCGGTTATTATCTAATTGACGACTAAACATCGTTGTTACGGCGTAACTTATACTAGTGGCGTTTTTTCTATCCTAACGATAAGTGGTTATGCGCACGTTAGATGGCGACACGTAGGGCTTCCGGCTATCTCGGCGATAAGCGAAGCACGTGCATGCAACCGCCAAAAACTGACAGTCTACTTCCTGCTTGAGATACGGGCACAACTAAGTTCGGCTTTCTAGTCTTATCTTAGAATCACGGTATCGCGAGTGAATATAAAGACGCAAATAAACGAATTGCGCACCCTATTTTAAAGGTGAGTGTCAAAGTGAAGCCATCGAAGGCATAATAATAAAATCATAAATTTGCCCCCCTTGCCGATCGTTAAATAATTACAAAGTTCGTTGTTCCGCCATTTTAAATTGCACCACGTGCATACAAAACCAAAGAGTAATCGGACAATTAAACAATTCTAGTGACGTAAATCATTAAAACTAAATAATATTAAATTAAACAATATTAAACTATTTCACATTCATTATATGAAATAGTACAAGCTTCTTGATAGCTTATTTATATCTTTTCTTTCTTGGTGCTTGATGTAAATCCTCTTGAACCTAAATAACATTACACTATTTTACATTCATTATGTGAGATAGTGCAAGCTTCTTAATAGCTTATTTATCTCTTTTTTTTGTGCTCAATGCACGTGTGACCGGAAAATCTGCTCACTGCAGTACCGACACACTCTCTTTTAACACGTAGGTCGCATCCTGCAATACCGACCGTGTTCAAACAATTTTACCTTTCCTTTACTACTTCTTTTTGTTAAATAATAATTACCGTCTGCGTCCGATGGATAAATCGATGTCTAGCGAGCGTCGGAAATAAAGTGCGTGCGTATAAACTTGCGACTACACTTCACCTTATTATTGTTTCCTACATCTGTCATTATTTATTACTCATTCTTATTTCTTTTGATCATCTCATCAATTTCATTTATTCAATAAAAAGGGTTTTTGTGCGTACTGAGCTTTTCCCTTTATACAAGTGTTGTTCATTTCTTCCCTTCTCCTTAATTAATATATAGAACCTTTTCATATAGTATCTTAATAATTTTTACTGCGTTTAAATATTACTAGGCATACCACCTAAGGTATAGCAATTCTCTAACGACAATTCATGGTGCCTCCTGTGAGGTGTGATTAAGTTTCACGCTTCTTTGTAAAACTTTTCGTGAGTGATTGCGCGTATATAGACACTAGTGCGAGCGTGTGATACTCTAAAGACTCTGTTGCCGTTCGACACTGGATGGACTTCATCTTCAACAGACTTCTTCTTCACGCCATACGTCATCTCCCAGGAAGCCTCCACACCCAGTTGGTCGCCGCTTCGTAGGATTAAGTTTAAGATAAGTACCTTCGAAGGTCATTTGAAAACACATTGATTCCATTGCGTATGTTCAAACATCTGTTTGCTTTAATTTCCCATTTATAACCTCTATTCATAATTTTTTGTACGTTCCTCAACCCAACATTGGGAGGTGAATCAAACGGGTTTCCACTTATTCGCGCGCCAGCTTATGAATAGTTTGCGGTCGATTTACATTAAATTTTTAGTTCTTTACTTATAGTCTCTTCATTCCATGATAGTTACTTATGCGAGTTTGTTGATTTAAACGTAAATTTATTATCATACTTTTAATTATTTGTTCATTTTGTTTATTTTATTAAATTTAGAGTAAGATAGCGTCATTTAAATTTACGGTCCTCGCTTACCACATTCTATAAGAATAGAGCTTGGACATTTCTTACGCGTTTATTCAAGTTTAAGTTTGACTTTCAGTATGGCTTCCGCAAACGACGAAAGACTGGAACGCGTTAAATATTTGGAACAAAGGATTAAGACTTTGAAATCGTCCATTCGGAGTTTAACCGAATACGTGTCAGGTCCGTCGATAAACCGCGTTAATGCGAATTTGCGATTGACGAATTTAGCGGGTATTTATCAGGATTACGGTGAATTTCACGAAGAATTGGCCGATTTAAATCCCGAACACCCGTTACTCCTTGAATTTGCGACTATAGAATCTAGTTATTATGAAGCGGCAACAAAGGTCACCGAGCTTCAAGCGCCCGCAGACCGCCGCAGTCTTCCAACCAATTCCACTGCAAACTTCGGAAGTTTCAACGTTTCCGAGAGGCAGATGTTGCCTAAATTAAAGGAAATCCCTGTCCCTTCGTTTGATGGCGATCATACACATTGGGCGTATTTCAAAAACAAATTCATTGCTTTAGTTCACTCCCGAGACGACATTAGCGACGCCGTAAAATGCAGTCAACTGCTTACAGCGTTAACGGGAAATGCGTTAGAGAAGGTTAACCATTTTGATCCAAGCGATGAGGATTATCCTCGTGCGTGGAAAACTCTGCTCGATTTCTATGACCATAAGCGTATCACCGCCAGTCATCACTTGAACGCTCTTCTGGATCTTCCCAAATGTTCACAAGCATCTGCTGAACAGCTCGCTAAATTGTTGGACGGAGCTAGACAGCATCTTCACATTCTTGAACGTTTAGGTTGCAAGTCCGGGGATGGTCACCATCATCGAACGGTGTTTGCCGGCCGCCTCTAAGAGTCGATGGAATGACAGGTTGGATATGGATAAACTTCCTACTTTGGAGGAACTTTTTAAATTCCTCCAGAGTAGTATTTTTAAACTCCAAGCTTTAGAAGCCTCTTCCAACACTGGCTCTTCTTCTAAGAATAATCCACGAAAGCGCGCGGGCGAGTTTGCCGCGACATCGTCAAACAAGTTTAGCAAAACCCATGCTCGAACTTTAACCACTACTTCTTCCACTTCGTCTTCATCGCCCCCAGCTTCGGATGTCCGCCGTTGTCCCAAATGTGCAGGAGATCATCGGATTTTTAGATGTCGCGACTTTCTATCACTTGAGCCGCAAAAACGGTTTGAGGTTGCGAAGTCAAACAATTTATGCCGTAACTGTCTTGCAAAACATTCGCCTCCATGTCCTAACTCTGGTCGGTGTAAGAAGTGTTCTAAAAGTCATCACACTCTCCTTCATTTTGAGAGGGACAATCCTCAGCCCAAGGTATCTGGGAAACCAGCTTCCTCAAGCTGACTAGTTCATCCTTCATTTTGTTCGGTTGCTTTCTTACCAGATTCTCAATTGATGCCAACAGCTATCGTAAAGGTCAGGAACGCCGCGGGGAGGTTCGTTTCGGCTCGGGCATTACTTGATTCCTGTTCCACCGTTAACTTAATCACCAACTCCTTTGCTAACTCTTTAAATCTACCCATCAAATCCTGTTCAGTGAATATCGGAGCAGTTGACGGTTTGAGCACTGCTTCGACGTTCCAAGTTCAGGCAACCTGCCATTCAAATTGTAGTAACTTTCAATGTAATCTAAATTTCCTAATAGTACCTAACATTGCCGATACCGTGCCCAGCGATACCTTTCCTCGCGAGCTCTTTGACATTCCCAAAGACGTTTCGCTAGCTGATCCTCAGTTTCATCTACCAAAGCCTGTCGACCTTTTGTTGGCCTCTAATACCACATTTTCGGTGTTATGCGTCGGTCAAATCCATCGAAACCATCGATCGTCCTCCATTATCCTCCAGAAAACTTCTCTAGGATGGGTAGTGGCGGGCGGCTCTGGGTTGACGTCTTCCTCCAATCAGGGAGTTTGCAACGTGGTGAAGCTCGACAAGCTCATCGAGAGATTCTGGATCATTGAAGACTTCGATCATGAGCCATGTAAATCTCGTGACGAGAAGGCTTGCGAACAACACTACGTTGACAACACCACTCGTGATCCCTCCACCGGACGATATGTTGTGCGATTACCCTTCCGAGATAATAAGTTCAGTCTCGGAGAGTCGAAACAACGAGCGTTGCGGAGATTTTATAGTTTGGAAAGGCGATTTTCGTCGGACCCCACTCTGAAGGCCGAATATTCCAAGGTCATGGACGAATATATCTCGTTGGGTCACATGACCTTGTGCACTGAACAATCCACTGGAGATGAGTACTTTCTTCCTCACCATGCAGTGGTAAAGGAGTCCAGTGAAACCACCAAACTTCGTGTCGTCTTTGACGCTTCGGCGAAAACCTCCACCAATTTGTCTTTGAATGATGTTCTCATGGTTGGTCCCACTATTCAGAACACTATTTTCGAACAACTCCTTCGATTTCGGACTCATCAATATGTTCTTACCGGGGACATTGAAAAAATGTACCGACAAATCCTCGTTCATCCTGACGATCGTCGATTCCAGAAGGTTTTCTGGTATCACGAAGGTAAATTGGCAGTGTTTCATTTGAACACGGTAACCTTCGGTGTAGCCTGCGCCCCTTTTTTAGCGATTAGGACGATTCATCAGCTAGCTCGTGACGAGGCTCAAAACTTTCCTCGAGCTAGTGAACTTCTCTTCAGAGACTTCTATGTTGACGACTTCATTTCCGGTGCTAACTCCCTTGAAAATCTCATCTCAATTCGGGACGAGATGATCTCCTTGCTCAAGGTAGGGGGATTTCTCATCCGAAAATGGTCTTCGAACCATCCTGAAGCTTTCAATGCCTTCGATCAGTCGACCTTTAATTTGGATTGTCTGGTTAAGGGAGATGTCCTGCAGAAGACGCTGGGAATCGTTTGGCATTCCCAAGCCGATCTCTTTGGTTACTCTCTCGACCAGGTCGATGCTCAGGTTCTCTCGACTAAACGAAAACTCGTCTCTGAGTTGGCCAAAATATTTGATCCCCTTGGGTTAGTCGGACCGGTAATCTTATACGCCAAAGTCTTAATTCAAGACTGTTGGAAGGCGAAGATTAACTGGGACGATCCTCTGCCTCAACACATCCATACTAAGTGGAAATTATTGGCGAATCAACTTCCTCTCTTAAAGAACTTTTCAATTCCTCGTCAATTCTTGCTTCCGAATCCTACAAGCGTCGAAATCCACGGTTTCTGCGATGCCTCACAACAGGGTTACGGTGCTTGTCTCTTCGCGAGATCGACAGATGCCCATGGAGCGGTATTGGTCAGACTTATTTGTAGTAAGTCCAAGGTCGCTCCCTTGGGTGGAGTCACGATCCCGCGATTAGAGCTGTGCGCAGCTACTCTCGTCAAGAAACTCCTAGTTCAATCCAAACCTCAATTCGACTTCCCAATTCATCGAATTGTTCTGTGGTCGGATTCGACTATCGTTCTATGTTGGTTAAGAAAGGCTCCACACTTGCTCCGAACTTTTGAATCCAACAGAGTCGCAGAGATCCAGTCTTTAGGAGATCTAGCGACTTGGAGACATGTTCGGTCTGAAGATAATCCTGCGGACGCTCTTTCGAGAGGTCAGCTACCGAGTGAGTTGGAAGAAAATTCTAAATGGATAGCTGGTCCCGCTTGGCTTTCTTCACCAGAAAGGGACTGGCCTCCATCTTTCGATCCCTCTAACAGGGAAATCCCCGATTTAGCTCCAGCGACTTGTTTAGTCACTACCAGTGCAGCATCCTTTGAAGACATATACTCTAGATTTTCCTCTTTCGAAAGGTTCCTTAGAGTCTTTACTTATTTGTTCCGTTGGAAATCTCGAACCCATTGTGTTCAGAAACCAATGAGATTGTGTCCTGAAATCGTAGATGAAGAACAGCGCATAAATCAGATTATTAATCTGATTCCTCCATTACAGCCGTCTGAGATCCGACGGTCGGAATGTGAGATAGTAAAATTGATCCAAAGGGAACGGTTCAAACTTGAATTTCATCGCTTAGAAACATCAACCAAAGGCTCCAAATTAGGAACTCCTTTTGACAATCTCAATCCTTTCATTGGGACTGACGGGGTGATTCGAGTAGGAGGTCGTTTGGATCGGTCTAAAATCCCTTACGACCAACAACATCCAATGATCCTCCCTCAAAATCACCACGTAACTCGCATCATCATTCGACACTTTCATGAGACTACTCTCCACGCTGGTGTTCAAACCACCCATTATGCCATTCGAGCAAGATTTTTTATTCTTAATGGCAAGAGTCAGGTTCGATCTGTTCTTCGTCATTGTGTTAAATGCATCCGCTGCAAACCTCCTTTGAGTAATGCTCCAATGGCTAATCTGCCGGAAGCTCGTGTGAGCGAATCCTACGCTTTTCAGCATACCGGCGTCGATTTTTTTGGCCCGCTCAGTGTCAAGGAGAAGGCCCACAAAAATAGATCCTTCATCAAATGTTATGGGTGCGTTTTCGTGTGTCTTTCGTCGAAGGCGGTTCATATAGAGTTGGCCACCGATCTTTCCTCGAAGGGATTTTTGGTCGCATTTCGTCGTTTTCTCCATCGCAGAGGGGTCCCATCACGGATGTACTCTGACAATGGAACAAACTTCGTGGGGGCCAATAAAGACCTTTTGGAGATCTATCAGCTCTTTGAAACTGAAGAATTCAAAGGAGACATACGAAATTGCGCATTATCTCATCGCATTGATTGGCACTTCAATCCTCCTGTATCGCCTCACTTTGGTGGATTGTGGGAAGCTGCCGTGAAAAGCTTCAAACACCACCTTAAACGTGTCGTTAACAATCAGTTTACCTATGACCAACTAGAAACCCTCTTGATCGAGATAGAAGGAATCTTGAATTCTCGCCCGCTCTGTGTTCTTTCTTCCGACCCTAATGACCCTCTTGCGTTGACTCCAGCTCACCTATTAATAGGTCGTCCGATCAACGCCTTACCAGAAACTTCTTTGATTTCAGTTCCAGAAAATCGACTATCCACTTACCAAGTTTTGTCTAGATCTAGACAGGCCTTTTGGGAAAGATGGCATAAGGAGTATCTCCACGAACTCCAGGTTCGACAAAAATGGCTCCACCCCACCGCTGAACTTAACATTGGAGACGTCGTGCTTTTGATCGAAGATAACGTTCTTAGCGGTAGATGGCCTCTGGGTGTGATCATCGAGGTTTTTCCTGGAGATGACGGCGTTATTCGAGTTGCATCTGTCAAGACATCGACTGGAATATACAAACGCAACATCACCCGTTTATGTGTGTTGCCGACTAAATGATTTGTTGATACCCCATTTTGTTGTTCACCTCATGAATCTCAACTATCCTTCCTTTCACTGATGCGTTAAATGCCACAGATGTGCGCGATTTTGCTTGCCCGAACTGAGTCGAGCTTGATCGCATTCTGTGAAGCAAATATTAAGCCTGGCCCGCGGTACGCATAGACAGAGTCTTATGTAGCCAGAAGACCATTGTAACATACTTTGGTGCGCGATACCTAGTGAGTCCCGACTAGGTTCCCTACCTCTATGTTGAGATTCAACTCGTTCGTTGTATATATTTCCTTAGGTTAAGCAATCGTGATAATTGTGATCATCCAGGCAGTCACTCCAAAGGAAACTGACCTGTCAGCGTTTCTAGTCAATGTACAACCCAGTCATTGAAGATGTGCGATCTTCCACGTTGAATTTCGTCATCATATCATTTTACTGTATGTGATCTTGCGTAATTTTAAGGTATTACTCTTGTAATCTGCTTTAGCTCTGAACTCTGTTCAATTGCTTTCGCAGCCCTGGCCGGGAATATGTTACGGCGTAACTTATACTAGTGGCGTTTTTTCTATCCTAACGATAAGTGGTTATGCGCACGTTAGATGGCGACACGTAGGGCTTCCGGCTATCTCGGCGATAAGCGAAGCACGTGCATGCAACCGCCAAAAACTGACAGTCTACTTCCTGCTTGAGATACGGGCACAACTAAGTTCGGCTTTCTAGTCTTATCTTAGAATCACGGTATCGCGAGTGAATATAAAGACGCAAATAAACGAATTGCGCACCCTATTTTAAAGGTGAGTGTCAAAGTGAAGCCATCGAAGGCATAATAATAAAATCATAAATTTGCCCCCCTTGCCGATCGTTAAATAATTACAAAGTTCGTTGTTCCGCCATTTTAAATTGCACCACGTGCATACAAAACCAAAGAGTAATCGGACAATTAAACAATTCTAGTGACGTAAATCATTAAAACTAAATAATATTAAATTAAACAATATTAAACTATTTCACATTCATTATATGAAATAGTACAAGCTTCTTGATAGCTTATTTATATCTTTTCTTTCTTGGTGCTTGATGTAAATCCTCTTGAACCTAAATAACATTACACTATTTTACATTCATTATGTGAGATAGTGCAAGCTTCTTAATAGCTTATTTATCTCTTTTTTTTGTGCTCAATGCACGTGTGACCGGAAAATCTGCTCACTGCAGTACCGACACACTCTCTTTTAACACGTAGGTCGCATCCTGCAACACCGACCGTGTTCAAACAATTTTACCTTTCCTTTACTACTTCTTTTTGTTAAATAATAATTACCGTCTGCGTCCGATGGATAAATCGATGTCTAGCGAGCGTCGGAAATAAAGTGCGTGCGTATAAACTTGCGACTACACTTCACCTTATTATTGTTTCCTACATCTGTCATTATTTATTACTCATTCTTATTTCTTTTGATCATCTCATCAATTTCATTTATTCAATAAAAAGGGTTTTTGTGCGTACTGAGCTTTTCCCTTTATACAAGTGTTGTTCATTTCTTCCCTTCTCCTTAATTAATATATAGAACCTTTTCATATAGTATCTTAATAATTTTTACTGCGTTTAAATATTACTAGGCATACCACCTAAGGTATAGCAATTCTCTAACGACAATTCAATCGTTCTCAAGGCGTGCATGTAATAGCGTTTCTATTAATAAAGAACAGTGAGCATACCGGCAAAGCGAGTTGCCGACAAGCGTGCGTTCATGTAAACAAACGCGCGGGCCGACCTTCTGTAGATTTTGAAGAATAATAAAGGATACCGTTCATATTACTAACAAGTGCTTTTCGATCCGCTTTTACCTCATAGCTTCCACTCGCTTTCTAATTTATTATAGGTTATTCACAATTACCGGTTGACTGACGCATACTTACACATGCTCTCCGATTTGCATATTGAGCATAATCAAACACGCGCGTCCTTTTAGTGTAATTGCGCGCATAAAATAATTAAACGGTTTTACCCCGTTACAATATACATATTGTATAATAATTATAATAAATTTTAATAATTTTATAATAGTTTTTATAATAAATTTTGTATTTTTATAAATAATAAAAACTTATTATTTCATTTTGGTATTTACAGGTAGTGGCACTTTTTTTATTAAATCATCTTCGGTAGATAACACACACACACACACATATACATGTTGAGTTGCGAAAAAAATCATCATATACTAATTATAATAAATATATTTACGTCTAAATAAAAAAAAAAATATATTTACTACTTTACGGAGGAAAATCAGAACGTGCGCAACAGAAGGAGCATCTGTTTCGACTTGGAATTCTTAGCCTTTCTTTATTTCACTTCGAAATGCTTTTCTTATACTCACTCTCAGATTAAAACCTACAGTGCCGATCACGCACTTTTACCCCCCCCCACGGGCAAAATCAGTCTAACTTCAAAGTTTTATATCTCTGGTAGAAATTAACGTACAGAGACGCGCGTGGATGCGTTTGAAAGGTCTTTCGGAGAGCTTTCAAATGATATGACTTACGGTTGCCATCGATTGTTTTTTTAAATTTTGCAACAATTATGCAAAATTGAAAATTCTGAAATTTTTTTATTATTTTTGACAATTAGCCAATTTTGGAAAAAAAATCGTACGAAAATTTGAAGTACACCATTTTTTAGCTATTACCAAGCCCTATCTGAATCACTCATCAAAAATTTATTTTCGTCAAATATGACGCGCGCACGGGCATTTTTTCCTGGAAGTGACAGTTTTTTTCAACATTTTTTATCTCCGTCAAATTGTAACAATCGAAAAAAATTTATAGGAGAAAAAATGTTTGTTGTTTCACGTAGAATACTGCAATAATTTTTTTTTTGGTTTTTCGAAAAATTTTTTTTTTCGGTTTAAATTATTTTTCAAGGTCGAAAAAAAAAAGATTTTTTTTTATGTAATTTACGATACTTGTTATGTAGTATTATTGAATGGGTGGAAAAAAATTTTTTTTTGTGGTTTCTCATCTTTTTAGCGTACCGACTGTGAGAAAAAAAAATTGAAAAAAACCGAAAAAAAAAAATTTTTCGAAAAACCAAAAAAAAAAATTATTGCAGTATTCTACGTGAAAAAACAAACATTTTTTCTCCTATAAATTTTTTTCGATTGTTACAATTTGACAGAGATAAAAAATGTTGAAAAAAACTGTCACTTCCAGGAAAAAATGCCCGTGCGCGCGTCATATTTGACGAAAATAAATTTTTGATGAGTGATTCAGATAGGGCTTGGTAATAGCTAAAAAATGGTGTACTTCAAATTTTCGTACGATTTTTTTTCCAAAATTGGCTAATTGTCAAAAATAATAAAAAAATTTCAGAATTTTCAATTTTGCATAATTGTTGCAAAATTTAAAAAAACAATCGATGGCAACCGTGAGTCATATCATTTGAAAGCTCTCCGAAAGACCTTTCAAACGCACCCACGCGCGTCTCTGTACGTTAATTTCTACCAGAGATTTAAAACTTTGAAGTTAGACTGATTTTGCCCGTGGGGGGGGTAAAAGTGCGTGAGCGGCACTGTAAGTTGCACGTTAGACACACACAAAAAAAAAACATTTTCGCTAAATTAAACGGTCGGACGTTACATTTATTATATTTATTGAAATAATATATATAATATTTATTATAATTAGTATATAATATAAAAAAATTCATTATATACTAATTACAATAAATATATACTAGGTGGCCAATTTTAATCGTCCCACCAAGATATTTCGATTAGTATGCTTTTTTTCAAAAAATGTTTCAGACAAAAGTTGTTTAATTTTAAGGGGGCCATATTTTGGTGATATTGCATTTGACCTTGAACATGTTTTTCCAAGGTTATTTGAAGGTCAATGTTGTTTTTTAAATAGATACACCTATTTTTGATGAATTCCTATTCTTGGTCAAATATTCGCAAACTACGTTCATTTCTATGTTTATACAAGGTCATGTCTGTGGGATTTAAGTGACCCCCACCTCATTTCCAAGGTCATTTTGAGATCAACTTAGGAAAACGTTATTCGCAGCCTACAACCATTTTTGCGTTTAGATGAGGTAATAAATGTGGGGTTCATGTGACCCCATCCTCATTCCCAAGGTTATTTCGAGATCCACATAGAGTGGAAAATCCTATTTTAAAAATCTCTATATGCCCGCAATCCTATTTTCAAAATTAATCTTAGGACAAATCTTTAAAATTAATTCAACATCTTTTGGTCATAATGTTCGGTTTTTATGACTTGTGGTTCTTCCGATGTATGCTTTATAAATTCTAGACAATGGAATCCATTTGAAAGAATGTAAAACTTACACTGTAGTAACATAGTGAAGCAAGATTAGTATCCTTCAGGGTGTTTAATAATAACATACTTGGAAATTAATCATAGTAGAGTTTGATACAGTATTTTAACATACCACGTGTCTTTTGACATACCACGATCTCTAATGTAGAATTCTTCATATTTGTTGAAAATAAAAGATAATTTATCAAAAATGCCCTTCTGTAATACATATCTAAGTATCATATCTGTAGTAGACTGCAGAAATTTGTATACAAATCTTTTATTATTTTTTCTACAAATTTTCTAAGTATCGTAGATTATAAACTTTTGGTATTACTATTGATCTGGTTGTTATGAGATCTTTTTGGCATCTTCTTTTTGATTGTTTATCGAAAATTTTATTAAATGTCTAAGTTAAGGTTAAAATTTTGAATAGGCCGACTATCCTTCCGAAAAAAATATAATTCTAGTTCTCGGAGAGATTGATAATCGTTACAGAGTAGCTACAAGACTTAATGCGCGTCGCTTTTCGAATAGAAGATATCCTGATCATACAACTTTACCTCGGCTGACTCGATGAGATCGAAATGAACGTTTTATTCGCTGACGCAGACGCCGTGAATTTGATAGAATCGATGCTCGCAGATTAACTGTTCTAGCGGCTGTCTATCTGGATCCTCACATCAGCACAGCTGACAAATAGAAAAAGAAATCGATATACCTAGAACAACAGCTTTGCCTTTTCTTAATAGACTTCGATATCATGCTTACCACATTACCTTAGTTCAAGACTAAAGACAAAATCATATTGCTGTGCGTATCAACTTCTGTCAATGGGCTTTGAGAATGATAGAAGAAAATCCTAATTCTTTCAGATTAGTAACATATATTTAGAGTTGATAAGGAATAGGTTAACAGAAATGTTAGATGTTGATCTAGAAACAAGAAGATTGTGATTCCAGCAGGATGGCACGTTAGCTCATTTCGCACGAATTGTTAGTAATTTTTTGGACGTGACGTACGGAGAACAATGGATCGGACGAGAAGGTCCAGTCGACTAACCTCCATGTTTACCGGATCTCACATTGACAGATTTTTATTTATGAGGATATCTCAAGAATGTTGTTTATACAGAACGTCTAATAACGAGAGAGGATATGATGGTTCGCATCCGCCAAGCTTGTAGAGCTATTTCAAGGGCAACGTTGTTAAGAATAGTTGAGAATTTCCAAAGGCGTTTGAATCTGTGCCTCGAAGCAAATGGCAGACAATTTGAACAGCCAATTAGTGGGTAAGAAGTGAGAGGCACGAGGACTCACGGTAAACATGCACCCCTTACTGAAACTCCTGAATATTTTCCTAGGTTAATCTCAAAATGACCTTGGGAATGAGGTTGGGATCACTTGGACCGCACACGAATTACCTTGTCTAAACGCAAAAACGGATGTAGGCTGCGAATAACGTTTCCTAGGTTGACCTCAAAATGACCTTGGGAAAGGTGACTCATAAAAAAGTGATGGATGCCATATGGAAGCATTGTATTCGTGATCTAATTGGCTGAGATATAGTCACGTGATATACTGTTATGGTAGCAAATATGCATGTCGATGTGATTTCGACTTGTGATTTTATTAATAAAAATTCATTTTATCGTAATTGATACGGTTAATTTTGAAGATAATGAAAATAAAAAAAGTATGCTGCATTGTTACTTTTACATCCATTTTATAAAACTAACAGCGAGTAAATCGTTTGGTAAAAGTGAGAGATTATTATGCTTTGGAACTATTCTGATAATCTGATATTTGAACGTGTAAGATTGAAAGAATGTTGTAATATCGCAATCTGGATTAAAAGAGTAGGATAAATGTTTAATAGTAATTGGACCCGTATGGTTGAAAAGAACTATAGAGATTGTTTATGTCCGTTTCCGATATGATAATTCATGAATTTAGAATACTCGAAACTGTTTTACTAATATCAGTTTTCCACTATGATATATGTTTTGTAACAAAAATTAAATAATCCACCTTTGAAAAAAATGATTTCTTTCGTTAAATAAGTTAATCAATATGATAAGAAATGAAAGGTAAATAAAAGCGTGCGAAGTACTTCCGATGTCACGAGTATCATTAAATAATTAAAATGAACTTACAAATATTTTGCACCTATCAGGATTCGAACCCGCGATCCTGAAATTGCCAGGCAAGAGTTTATCCATTGAGACACGAGAACCATTTCAAATTAAAGTTAGAATTAGATATATTTTCAAGAAAGTATGAATGTTATTGACAGATTTTTAATGTATTTTAATAATTCTTACGAAGAGAAATACGTAATTGTGTTTTATTGAATCCTTTTTATGTATTTTAATATTTTAAGGAGGTACTACACCAAATAGAATTAACAATGCTATAATTATGAAACTTGGCACATTACAAGACTAATACACATAAAAGCTTCAGTTAACAATTAGGAAGCTGTGACGCGAAATATTTTAACACTGTTTCTTATGTAAATCCCGCTTTATACATGATATCTCAAAACTTAGCAATGATAATAGAACCAAACCTTTTTTAATCGCAAGATACTTTTCTGAGGATTAATTTTTGATTTTAATATTTGAGTTTAGAAGAATATTAGTTTATTAAAAATAATAAAATTCTCCAAAAAATGAGTTTTTTTGCTGGCCGCGTACTCATTTGGCAACGTTGCAATCACATATATAGATATACCTACGCATAACCGTACCAACTATAAGTATATTATGTATCGTGTTTACTGATTTGGCGGTTTACCATGGATGAAGAAAAACTAAAGTTTTTTATGTGGTAGAGAAAAAGAGTCACCGAAAAAGTTTTTAACCAAAGGCGTAAACAGTAAGAATTTGCAAAGACCATTCGACAAAATCAAAAAAAGAATGAGAGTGCTGTCAGTGCTGATGAAAGTAAGGTTGAAAAGAGTAAACCTAACCTCGTAGAAGGTCGTCGATTAATGCACATCAATACTTTAGCCGAAGGAATGATTTGCAAAAAATGTAACAGCAAGTTACATTTTTCAGATTTAAAATATAAAAAGCAGTATAGATTGGCGTCAGTATTTGTTATTAAATGTCAAAAATGTCAAATTGTTTGTTCTGCTGCTTCAGACAAGCAGCATGAGACAAACAATCATCAGATACACTTTGATGTAAATTCTAAAACTGTTATTGGTTAGTATTAATAATGCAGTTTTAAAAATAAAAAAAAGTTGTTAAGTTAGTATACACAATAAATATAATCATTTTTTTAGGTTCGTTGAATGCTGGAATAGATAATACACATGTAAATAAAATGTTGGCTGCATGGAATATGCCAGCATTACATTGGACAACCTTTAAAGCTCATGAGAAAGAGGTAGGAGTTTCTATCGAAGAAATGCCCTGGGAAAGTTTAAAAAAGCAACATTAGAAGAAAAACAATTAACAATTGAGAACCTTGATGTTGTTGAAAAGTTGTTGTAAGTTAATGTGTAATAACTTATAACATAATTTTATATAAATTTATATATATTTATACAGCTAAATGCATTAGCTAAATGAAATTTTACTACAAATTTTCATCATTCTACGCACATCAATTTTTATAGTTAATGAGATTTTTATTAGACAATCTGTTTTTATTTTATTATGAACTTATTTAGATCTTTTGTCATTTTACAACTGCGCTTGTATATTTTATAATGTATAGTTCTACGCATACATACTTTTATTTTACACATTTAATTATATATAAATTAACGTATAGTGATAAATAAAATATTATTCATAAAAATTTCTTTTGTATGATTCTGTAATGATATATTTTTTCAGACCTGTTCATTTGAACCTTAATTTTATTTTTCCAACTTTACCTAAAGGCGTTGAATTAAAAAAAACAGAAGTACGAGGTGTGTTCAAAAAGTAACGAGAATTTTTAAATTTCGCGGGTTTGGAGAGTCCGCTTGTATAAAATTTTTTTTATTATGTTGGTACACATGCCCCTGAAGTACGATAAAACTTTCAGCAATATTCATTGCTTACTTTTTAAGTAGCAGCCGCTAACGTTAGACGTGTTTTTCGAGCTCGGCGATTTTCGTTTGTGAAAAAAAATGGATCAAAGAATTTGTATTAAATTTTGCGTAAAAAATGAAATAAAGTGTAGTAAAGTTTGTCAAATGTTAACAAAGGCATAAAGTGAGTCTACTATGAGTAAAGCAAGGATTTATGAGTGGTGCAAGAGTGGTCAGCCTCCGTGCGCCATAGGCTGGTCTCTGCTAATTTTTCTGGGTTCTATCTCGGTAAAGAAAGCCGGCGCTGACTTTCACAGGCCGAAGTTCGCGCTGGCTGGGAAAGGTTGACACAAAGAAACGGACACTCTAATTCAATGATATTACATATGGCGATCTCATTTATTGACGCCTTTTCACAAATATCGCTACAAGATTAACTTCGCCGCGGCGAGCGCGCTCGCTCAGCCTTTCCACGACAAGAGTTCGCGAGATCACACGAGCGAGATCGCTCAGCGTGCGCGATAAAATCAAATACGCAAATGTCCGTAATCGAGCGAGAGCTGGTGCGAGAGAGACGAACAGGTTTTCGACCCACCGGATGCCGACGGTCCGTCGGCAGAGAGACGACGCCGGCGAAAGCGCAGGCCCGCTGGAAGTGGCGCCCTGGCGATGACTGGGACTGCTGCAGGAGAGGCCGCAGCACGGCCTTTGCCCCGGGGACGGCGAATGGTCGCTGCGTGTCCGGGCTCGGCTTGGACCTTCTGGCTCTCCTGGTAAATGGCAGTCGTACTTCTGGCCGTCGGTTCTCTCTGGCCGAAAATGTCCTCTCGTTCCGACTCTCCTTAGGCGGCCCTAATTACTTGAGAGCTCGCGCCTAACTGCCCTTCTTCTCTCTTAATTTTCCAAGCCTCGCGCCGCCGCGCTCCCACTTCTCTCGCCGTCAAAAATCAGTCAAAATCGCTCTCTCTCTCTCTCGCTCTTCTCGCTCTCACTCGCACTCACGGCGACACCTCGCCGATCGTCGCGCTCCTCCCTCCAGATCCTGCAACGACACAAGTATGTAGTCGCTATATAGCGTATACTTGGTCGCTGCGTTCATGCGAGGAGAGTGCCGCACACAGGGCCAGCGAGCATCGCTATAGCCCTGTCACAGTGGTATAAGCGTTTCCAAGATGACCACGAAAACGTTGAAGATGACGAACGACCCGGACGCCCAAGCACATCAACAACCGATGAAAACGTGAAAAAAGTGAAAGAAATGGTTATGAACGATCGCCGAATCACAATCAGAGAAGTCGCTGATGATGTTGGCATATCAGTTGGCTCATGCCATCAAATTTTTTCGAATGTTTTGGGTTTGAAACGTGTGGCAGCAAAATTCGTTCCAAAATTGTTGAATTTCGAACAAAAACAGCGGCGAATGGAAGTTGCTCAGGAGTCGCTAAATGAAGTCAATAACGATGCAGAACTACTAAAACGTGTTATAACAGGTGACGAAACATGGGTTTACGGATATGATGTCGAAACTAAGGCTCAATCGTCCCAGTGGAGGCATTCTGGATCGCCAAGACCGAAAAAGGCTCGACAAGTGCGGTCGAATGTGAAGGTTATGCTCACTGTGTTCTTCGATTTTAATGGCATAGTGCATTATGAATTCTTGCCATAAGGTCAAACAATCAATAAGCAGTACTACCTACAAGTTCAACGTCGTTTGCGTGAAGCAATCCGAAAAAAACGCCCGGATTTGTGGCAAAACAATTCATGGCTTTTGCACCACGATAATGCGCCTGCTCACACTTCATTGCTTGTTCGTGAATTTTTGGCCAAAAACGAAACTGTAACGATGCCTCAGCCTCCATATTCGCCAAATATGGCTCCATGTGACTTTTTTCTATTTATTTTTTCCAAAAATAAAGAGAACATTAAAAGGCCGTCGTTTTACAAGCATAGATGACATTAAAAGCGAATCGCTGAAAGAGCTAAAAGCTATTACAAAGATCGAGTTTCAAAAGTGTTTCGAGGATTGGAAAAAGCGTTGGCATAAGTGTATTGTATCCGAAGGGGACTACTTTGAAGGCGACAACATTAATGTAGATGAATAAATAAATATTTTTTTCATAAAACGAAAATTCTCGTTATTTTTTGAACACACCTCGTATGCATTTTAATGAAACTACGTGTACGCTTATTTGTTCTTTTTGATATGAGCTGAACCACTAAGGGATCTGGTCGCAGTTACGACAGTCTTTCGGAGACTGGTAGTTTTATAGGATATTTTACTAAGAAAGTAATAGAATATATCAATCTTAATAGAAAATGCAAAGGCTGTGATAATAATACTTCTCTTGACCAACACATTTGCCGTAAAAATTATGAAGGATCAGCCAAAGGAATGGAGCCATATGCTGCTGTTAAACTTCTTAAAAGTCAAGTATTCAAGGAATGTTTAGTCGAAGTTGGTGGTATTGGAGCTGACAACGATAGCTGTGCTATAAAGGCTACGAAAGAGGCAGTCGACTATGAACTATTTAAACACTCGGATAAAAACCACACTTCTAAAGGAGTAGTAAGTGAATTATGTAGAACAAAAAATCAACATAAGGAACAAAAGTGTTTCAACTACTGCGCTGCTCAGTGCAATGGTGATTCTATTGTAATGGCCAATACTCTAAACAGTATTCCATATCACTGTTACAATATTCATAATAATTGTACTAGTGATTGGTGTGGATTTGTCAAAGATCCAGAAAACTATAAACATTCTGTGATCGGAGTAGGTTTTAAAGATCAAAAATTATTTCAAGATTTAAAAAATTTGTTTGGCACTTAAGCAAAACGATCATTAGAAATATGTAAATTGATTTCAACTAATCCTAATGAATGTGTTCATAATATAATTGCTTGCTTTGCTCCTAAGTCAAGAATGTATGGCATGTCTGCGTCAGGTAGTCAACGCACTGCATGTGCTGTAAATAAGAAGAATGTTGGGCAGAAGTACTGTGTAGAGTCAAATAAAAAATTAATGTTGTCTCCAGGGAAAAATACGGTAACACATGCCACTACAGTTGATACTTTTTCTAAACGGAAGTATGAAAAACAGTTAACAGTAAAAGCAAAGAAGAAACGTTTGCTAAACAAAAAGATAAGAAGCGAATTGAAATATGCTAAAGAAAAGTCTGAAGGTACAACATACGAGAGCAACATTGGATTGTTTAAAGATTTTAATGCGCAATCTTTACCAATAAGAAGTATTTGTGTTGAAGTAGATGCACTTACAATAGTAATATTATTCGACTTGGAGACAAGTGAATTTCAAGTAGATGCAGACATACTGCGAATCGCTGCTCAATATCAAGGTTTTGAATTTTCAGCGTACATTAATAATGATCTTAAAAAAAATATTTCTGAAGAAGCTACTGCAGTGCACAAGTTGTCATATGTTAATAATAAATTATAGTACAAAAATAAGAATGTGATAGCTTTTAGCCTTCATGATGTGATATTAGCATTTTATTTATTTTTATGTTCCTTTAATGCAAAATGTGTTTTAACAGCGCACAATTGTTCTTTTGATCGTCCTAGGTTAGTTAGAGCAGTCAAATTAATGTCAATGGAAGATAATTTTAAGAAAATTGTTATCGGTTTTAGCGATACGTTGTAAATAATAAAAAAAATAACTAAAGGCAAAGGTAAAAATGCAAACAAACTTGAAACTCTTGCCGTTAATCATAACATTGAAGTTTGTGAAGCCCATAATGCTATCAGCGATGTTTTAGTTTTAGATTTGCTATTAATAAAGTTGAATATTTCTAAAGAAGAAATTATTGAATCCCATGTTAATTGGAATTACATTAAAAAGAAAAAAACAGTTACAAAAGATGTGCCCAAAGCTAAGGAGAAAAAAATTGCGATGCAACAACTAGATGTATTAAAAGATTGTACATCAAAATCGATACGATCGAAAATAGTCAAATCTAATATAACTTTTTCTTCGTTTGAAAATGCATTTAATGAAAATAAGTATTTTGGGATTGCTCAGCTTTTAGGTGAGACTGAAAATAATAATTCGAGAATCACAAAAAATAAAAAAGTGTTAATTAAAATATACAACTATTTTATGAACCATGTTTCTCATGCGTGAATTTTTATGAAATATGTGTTAAAAAAATGTTTGTTATTAAAAAAATAATCGTTTGTTACGTAAAAGTACTATACTTACTATAAAAGTATTTAAAATTAAGACTAAGATATTGTAAGGCGTTGAGAAATAAATAACTTTCTGTTGAATTTTATATAATTTATATTCAACTTTTTTGTTTAATACTTTTAGTATTCCAATTATTTTCCCAATTAAATATAATAAATATATAAATATAATAAAAACAATTTTATAAAATTCACTCGATTCATGTAACGCGTA